GTTCTTATTAAATATATTTATTGTCATGGTTGGGCTTGAGTTCATTTTTTTTCTGGTGAATGGCTAGTGTAATTCTTACCTTTATTTCTCTGTACCTACTGTATCTTACTTTTTCCTCAGGCCACATCTTGGATTTTCTTTATCATTATTTTCATCAATTCAAGTGTGATATGTATCAGTCTTTTTTTTTATGTTTACTCTTAGTGGAATTCATTGAGCTTCCTAAGCTATTGATGTATTTTTTCATCTAATTTGGAAAATTTTAGCAATTCTTCAAATATTTTTTTCTGTCTTTCCTTCCTTTTGGATTCTGGTTATACAAATGGTAGGTCTCTTGATGTTATTCCAGAGATCACTAAAGTTATGTTTAATTTTTTTTTTAAGCTTTTTTCCCATCTGTTCTTTGTATGGATAGTTTCTGTTTTCAAGTGCATTGGGCTTTTCTTTTATGGTGTCTGCTAAGGCCCTGCAGTGACTTTTCCAATTCAGATACTGTATTTTTTTAGTCCTAGAAGTTATTTGCAGTTCTTTCATATTTTTGTGTTCTATTGTGTTCATATTTTTTATATCCTTATCCTTATCCTTATTCATAATAAGTGTTTTAAAGTTCTTGTCTACTAATTCCCTATTTGTCACTTTTGGGTTTGTTTCTATTGACTTGTTTTTTTCCCTGCCTTTTTTTCCCCCCATGTTCAGTAGATTTCAATTGAATGCTGGACATTTTGTGAATGTTACCTTGTCAACTATTTGAATTTTGCTGTCATTCCTTAATAAGGATGGAGTTGTTTTTTGGCCATCAGTTAAATTACTTTAAGATCAACTTGTTCTTCTGGAAGCTTGTTTTTAAGCTTTGTTAGGGTTGTTCTAGAATACTCTGTACCCTGGAGCTATTTTAGCCTTACTCTTAAAGCATAACTTTGGGGCCTCTACTGAATGTCTCGCATATCCAATGGGGATTTGCCTTCTCTTCGATACCCCGTCCCACAGATTACAGTCAGCTCAGCTTGCCTGAGTGCTGAAGTCTGTCCCTGCAGCTGAGCAAGGCTCTGTGCTCTTCTTGGGTTTTTCTCTTCCCCAATCAGCAGAAAAGTCAGATAGTCGCCAGGGTTATTATAGGATCACCATGTGTGTTTCAACCTCTGAGATCCCAGTTGCGTGCAGCACAGTTATCCAGTGTCTGAAAACTGTTGTTTCTTATATTTTGTCCAGTTTTACGGTGTGTCTTTCGTGTCACGAGGGCTAGTGTGGTGTGTGTTCTCCATCATGACTGGAAGCAGAAATAAACAATGTATCACTTGTCATTATAAGGAAGAAGCATTAGAGCCAGAAAGTCTACATGACTTAAGAAATGAGGAAAGTGCTTATGGGTTGTAGCTCAGTAGAAGTTGTTACAAGATAGTATATACCAGTGAGGAAATCAAAATATATATTAGGGATTCAGAGTAGCTCAACACTTTCTGGGGGAAAAAAATGTAAGAATAATAGAATAATATATGCTGTATATCCATTAGTTAAAATATTGTAAGTTAATTTAGTACACATATACTAAGCACCAAACATAAATAAGGTATTACACAAGACACTTTTCAATATACTGGTGATTAACTTTTTTTTAAAGTCAGATATTCAACATTTCAAGTAGTTTAGGGAGTGCAGAAATAGAACACGTATTCTCACCCACCATTAGATTAATGAAATTCCTTATGTCTCTTGTCAGACATCGGAGGTCTGCACAATGCCAAGGCAAGGGCAGCATACTTTTCCATAACCCCTGATCCTTAAAGCAGGGCTGTCTCCAGGATGTGTGGTACTTCCTTCCATAGAATTCGGTTCAATATTATATTACAAAATTCATGGGCGCCCATGAGGGATGGTGGTTTGTTAGTGACAGTTTACAATATTGGCTAGAGAAGAGGACCTTACACACATGCTTACACACATTCAATGCAAGTGCAGTTTATTCAGAGTGCCCAGGAACCATTTCTTCCTGCCCAGTTCTAGAAACTCTCTCTTCTTGTCTTTTATTTTCACATGTACCTCTTCTGGCTAATTATGCATCTTCTACTCTTAAGAAAAAGGTAGCAACGCTATTATTACACATAAAGCCATGGCTCTTTGCAGTCTCTTTTTATTGAAATGAAATAGATTTTCTTGCCTCTATAACGCTCTAATGCTATTAATATATTACTGGCTATATTGTTACTCAGAATGCTACATGGTTCATCCCACCCATGGTGAACACTGGCTTCCAAAGCAATATGGCTTGTCACTGTGTTTCACCAACAATGACCAAATATAAGTAATACCCTGAGTGTTCAGGAAAATCTGGATGGTAATTTATTTTCTAGTCATATTAAATTTGCCATTTGGGATTTTGTAGCATAAACATAGAGCAGCACATATTCCAGTCCAATATTTTCTTGAACTCTTGAGGCTGTAATCATTGTACTTCTAGAACATGGTCTCTTTTCCGTGTTGACTGCACCCTTGCTTTCTATACTCTGCCACCAGTGGGAAGAAAGGTACTCGCCCTTTATACACAGAAGCTTCTAACTGCCTGTCTCTTGTCGAATTAGATAACAGCACTGATGTAGAATAATTTCTCAGTTACCTATATTGATAGAAGAGAAGAACAGCAACCAGGATCATATAAAACAACAAACAAATTTAAAGTTTTTTTTTTTTCCCCTATTTTCCTTGGACTAGGACCAGCCAATGTCAAGACGGTGATGTCAGGTTCCTAGATGAGGGTGAGAGACCTGTCCTCACTGAGACATGTCCTCTAGCCACCTGCCAGAAATACCATGATGTGGGGGGTGTGCAGGCCTGACCCCAGCCTTCCCTGTACCAGCACTCGGGCCCCTGCCAGGGCGAGGACAGCACAGTCACTGGACGGGGACAGAGAGGGGAAAGCAAGGGGGGGTCTGGGACACCAGGGTAAGGGCGAGAGGGCCAAGAACGAAGTCAAACACAAGCACCAGGAGAGGACACCCTTGAGTGGAGCTCCACTGTTTCATTCGACCACTTACAAAACACAGAATCTGAGATGGCAACAACCACTGAGCATTAAAGCCCAAAGTGAGACCCAAACACAAGGCCCTGTGTGACTGGTCACACTCCATGAAGTTGGCCCTGCCGTGGGCTTTCACCAGTATGTACTGTCCATCTCACGTGGTCATGTGGAAAGCACCCTAGAATCATGCAGAATGTGATAAAAAGAATGAATTTGTCTGACATACTTTATAATTTGGATAACCTTAACATGGGATATCAAGACTTAATCATTTAGTTAACTAAATTCATTAGTTAACTGTTGACTTCCTGCTCAGGCTAGGGTGTGGAGCTGGAGGACAATGACCAGGAAAGGCTCTCACTCTTCACTAGGGTCAAAAGGTACAGATGTTGTCAGATCAATAGTGTGTGCTATGATAGAGATCTAAAGAAAATTAAGAAAACTAGGAGTAAAGAAATTAATTTTGATGGGCCTTGTAGGAGAAAAAAAAAAATGACTCCAGCCAAGCTGAGATGGATGGCATAGTATTTCAACTGCCGGAGACTAAGGGGCAGACCTTCCAGGCCGAAAGGACAGCATGGGGGGAAAGACATTGAAAAGGAGGACATGTTGATAGATATGCCTACATGCTGGGATTTTCCGGCTTTCTTCTGTTTTACTAAACATCTATTTTCCAGACACTGAGCTAGAGGCAGGGAATATAGGAATATAGAATTAGGATTCAGACAGAGCCATGTGTGAATCACAATCTATCACTCTCCAGTTGTGTGACTGGAGACACTTTACTGAACCACTCTGAGCCTCAATTTTAGTCATCCATAAAATAAAAACATCTATTTTGTAGAATTTTTAGAGAGATTATGAATGAGATAATGTTTGTAAAATACTCCCAACTAGCACCCTCAATCCTGGTGAAGGAGACAAGCAAATATAAACAAATAATTGCGATAATATATGCTTTGTGCAAGGCTTCTTGGAAGAGCTAATATATTTGTTTTTAAGATTTTTATTTATTTATTTGACAGACAGAGATCACAGGTAGGCAGAGAGGCAGACAGAGAGAGGAAGGGAAGCAGGCTCCCTGCTGAGCAGAGAGCCCGATGTGGGGCTCGATCCCAGGACCCTGGGATCATGACCTGAGCCGAAGGCAGAGGCTTTAACCCACTGAGCCACCCAGGCACCCCGGAAGAGCTAATATTTGACCGGGGGGCTGAAGGGTAAGGATGCGTTTTTAAGACAAGGGGAAGCCAAGAGGGATTTTTCCTAGGGTGAGGTTTGAAAGTGAGGAATCCCCTTTATGGTCTGTAGGGGACGGGAGGCAGAGAGTAGCTCTTAGGAAGAGAAGGTTGACCATATGTATGTATCTATAGATAAGGACAAAAAATAACTTTTCATTATTACCCCAAAGTCACTTTTAGCTGATTCACAGAATCTGATTCTTGGGGTGCCTGAGTGGCCCAGCTGTTAAGCATCTGTCTTGGGCTCAGGTAATGATCCCTGGATCCTAGGATCAAGCTCTGCATCGGGCTCCTTCCCTGCTTGGTGGGAAGCCTGCTTGTGCCTCTCTCTCTGCCCCTGCTTGTGTTCCCCCTCTCACTGTGTCTGTCTCTGTCAAATAAATAAAATCTAAAAAAAAAAAAAAAAAAAAAAATCAGATTCTTCTGCAGAAGAGGTAAGAGACCTTCTATGCAAAGTCCTCCCTCAAGTAAGATGTGTATAAATTTGCATGAGAGTTTCTGCAGGAGATGTTCTGTATGTTTTCTTCCTTCCAAAAGTCTAGAGTAGGAGGAGATCTGGAGTAGGGAGAGAGAGAGACAAACTCAAGAAATGTATTTACTTATCCCCTCCTCAAATGGAACATTTGCTTAGTTGGCATACATTTGATAAGACACGAAAGGCTTTAGGCATCTTCATGGTCTTGGTTGATGTGTGCCACTGCGTGCTTGGTGCTTTAAAGTGCTTGTCTTGTTCTGTCTTCTTTCTCCAGACCGAACACTTGCCTTTGCAGACTCAGTTCAAAGAAAGGGAGGTTGGCGGTCTCCAGCACCCTGTAAGTAACAAGGTCCTGCTGTGGGGGGTCTGCCCAAGTGGACTTATTATTATACTTATTAAAATATCATTTGATTTCCATGAAAATTATTTTTTTCACCGCTCTGCTATCTGAACATCCATAGTATGATTTTGTAAAGTCCTTGAGCTTGCTTGCCCATCTTAGAAGTAATCGAGTTTTATGAAACCAGTAACCAGGCAGAAGGTTAGTACCAGAGATGCCACAGAGCAGCATCTTGGGGGTTCATTTGATGGTGACAGCTGTGACAGCATTTCTGATTCTCAGTTATGTTGGGCATGTGGTCAAATACCAGTTCATTTCACTCTCTTTTCCCTAATTCCCCAGCACTGAATCCTGAGGTTTCGTTTGGTTTTGCTTTGGCTGTTGGATGTAATTCCCTGTGTATTTCAGCCACACATCCCCAGCTTGAGGCCTGCTGAGGGACTCCGGAAGTTCACAGCCTTGTTCTTCCCTAGTTTAGCTGATAACTGGTTCCAAATTTTGAAACCTGAAATTGACTATATTCCCATTAGTCATAACTTTCTATTGAGGAGCTGCTGTGACTCTTATTCAGGTATTGTAAGCAACTCAGGACTGGAAAATGATAAGTTGTTGGACTTTACCTTGCCTTTCAGTAGCTTGTGGGATAATGAATCAGAGACACAGAAGACAATGAATTCAGTTTCTTGCCTGTTTTTACCAAAGTGCTAGGAAAATGCAAACACCTGCTCTGCTAATGTAAGTAATATTTGAATTTTTAGAATGGACTCAAGAGCAGGAGATTGGACTATGAAGATGAGAGCCTCGTGGGGGAAGATGGGATTCAACAGATGTACCCCAGTTACAGTCAGATATGCTACCAAGACCGGAGTCCTGGCAAACATCATCAAAGCAACGAGCCCGAGAGAGCCTTCATCAACCCGCGAGAACATTACGTGTGATTTTCCTCTCTTTCCAGTGGATGTCCTGACAAACGTTTTATCTTAGATTGGGGAGAGAAACTGAGGTCAATGGTTATCATTTTATTCTCTCTCATATAAAACAATCTCAGTTCACCTGTATCAGAAGTCGTGATGAATAGCTTGGAGCCAATAGCCAATTTCTTTCCTTCTTTAAGAGTTTCTTAGCCACCAGCTATGTTTGTGAACTTGACAATAGCTTGTGTGTTTCTGTGATGATAGTGTTTAACCACTAATATTTGGCCTACGACGGCATGTTCATTAAACGTAGAACATCTGCCCGTGATGGCAGCAGTGATTCTCCAGAAAGAAAGGCCCCAGCTGGGACTGTTAATCTGGCTGAGTTTTAGGAAGGCCAGCCTGTTCATCTGTAACTCAAATGAGCAGAAAAAAAAGTTCAGAATCCATCTCCCTAATTATTTCACTGGGACTTGGCTTTCCCTAACATGCTTAATGCAATTACAGTACCTGTGCAAACAGGAGTCCTGAGGAAAGAGGCAAAATTTGCTTTTTATCCAAAAACAAAACGACAACAAAAAAGCAGTTGAAACCCTCAAGCCTGTTGGTTGCTTTGAAAGTCTTGTGATAATTGCAATCTGTGTTCTTTCTTGATCGCTAAGGTCCTGAGGGATACATGTTTTGTGCTGTTCTCTGCCTAGTCTGGATTAGCTGCTTGCTCACCAAGGTTCTGCTCTGTTGTTCCCACACTTCTGTTCTTTCCTAGCCAGATTAGCCTGTTTCCCGCCTATTCCATTCTAAAAGCCTTGTCTAAGTGGTGGACAGATTTGAGCCCTGTCCCTCTTTTCTGTAGTATTGTCTATGACAAGCTCAGCTTTGCCTTCTGAAATTCCTGTCAAACTAATCCTATCCACAAAGGCTTCACCTGTACCACACTTCTTCAGACTGCTTCTCATCCAAGTTTTATCTACCTCAGAAAAGCGTGCTGGAAAATCACCGTGAAATAACTCCTGCTCTTAAAAGCCAGGTAGAAAATGTGAAAAAAAAATTTTTTTAAAGTGCCACTTCAGTATGGCCTATATGCTTGACCCCCATGTTGTCCTTGATCCTCCCACCCTCTTTTACCTGGTCAAGAACAAGAGCAAAGGGATGCTAAAAATCGAATTGTGTAGTGACTGACTTAGCAGTGCAACACTCTGGTGCCTGCAAACAGCCATCTTGAGTTTTCTCACCCCCTTTGCCGAGGTAGCCTCACTGAGATTGAAGGTAGTGATTATCATGGTGTGAGCAGAGGAGGGGGCCCAGGTACCCACACTCCCCTCGCATGTCCATCACTCCCCTCGCATGTTAAGGGAAGCGTTGTTTTCCTGCGTGTTCGGGAAGATGAGAGGTATGTCACAGATATGAAAAACACTACAGACTTGCCATATAGTAGGAAAGAATGACATAAGTACTAATAAAAGAGTTCACGCTTCCAACCGAAGTTTCGGGGGTGGAGGGGAACAGGAGACTATGAATATAGACTTCAAATGAGATACCAAAGATACCTTGTGATTCATGTGCCTGCTCTGGTTCCTGCTTGTGTGTTTGTCTCCTTTTTCTAGGTGCCATGCACGTTCAGACAGGTTATCCAGGTTATTCTACAGTAGTCACACAGTCTGCCCCTGTTGCCTGGGGGACCGACGGTTCTGGGCGAAAAGATGCTTAAACTCTAACTCAGCGCTTTAGCAATTGATAAGCCTCTCTGGTCACGTGGAATTAAAGGGTAAACCCCAAGAACCCTCCTCGCTGTATCACTGTGCTACCTCAGTTAGAGTTTGCTGCCCTTTTTTAGCAAGATGACGCTGAAAGAACGTATTTGACTTTATTACCTGCAATCACATCAGTGAACAGTGTAGCCGAAGGTGGAGGAGGCCTCACAATTGTTTCCCAACAAGAAAGAGATGGCTCTGGTCAGTTCTCCTTGAGAGAGAAGCTGTTTTTGTAAATCCTGGATGTTACAGAGGAAGATATGTGGTACCATGTCACCTCCATTAGAAAGCTTTAAAAAGACTTTACACATGAGGGATGGTTTCTAGGCTCCTGCTGGGAAGCGGGTTGCTGAATTACCATCACAAAAATTCATCTTGGACCTTGGGTGGGGGAGGGGAATAAAGATTTCTTCATTTTTGCTAGATTTAGAAGGGCTGGGTGGTTTTAGGAGCCCTGGGGCCTGTCTTCAGAGCCCTCCCTACCAAGAAGAACCCACTATAAAATTTTTAACATTTTGATGTAGTTACGGGAAAAATTTCAGAGTGTAGACAGCTCTCTTATAGCCACCAACCTCCTAGCTTCTCTGTCAGCTACAATAGCTCTTGAATGAATTAGTAGATTTTATAGCTGTTGGCCCTTTACATGGGTCAGATAGCTATATACTTGTTTATCCTGGTGTCTCCCGTTTGTTCTCTCTGAATACTGAGTGGAAAGGAAAGGAGCTTTAAAAGGGTTTGATCAGCCAATCCCCTCAACCAAAAAAATGCCATCCAAAATTAGCCTGTCGATCTCTATCTACATTTAGAGCTTAGACGACTTGATGATGGCTATTTAAATTTGGAAGTTAGGCCCTTAAAGATCAATGAGTGTTATAAGCCACAACTGATACTAGCTACTCTTCCCATAACTGGTTTACTAAAACACACCGAAACAGAAATAAATCCCCAGAGCGCTTACCCACTTAACGGTCGCAGCTGTTCGTTTCTTGGGGGGCGTGCGTGCTCCCTCTCAGACCTGCAGCCCTGGAGTCCTGCGAGATGTAGGCAGCCCAGGCTCCAGGAGTGTGCATCATTGCCATGTCATCAGGCTCTTTGCACACCACACCTCTGCACTGTCTAGGATTCTCTGACATCATGGGATGGGAATGAGATTAATTCTCAATGGCAGAAAATTAATTGAGATTAATTCTTCAATGGCAGTGATTTGCCGCTCTTCTGTGAGGGTTCTCCCATCCTTGGCCTTCTCGTATTTTCTAAGTTTGAAGAAGTCTATGCTTTTTGTGCTTGGAACATGAAATTCTTAACCTGTGATAGACCTCCCTGTAACACACACATGGTAGATAGTGAAGAAATAAATGCCCTATAAACTAAATGAACTAATTCCCTCGTAAATCCTTCATGGCCTCATGTACTCACAAGGACAGCACAATTTCTTTGTCCATCTTTTGAGGATGTATATTATCCTAAATTCTCTTTCATAGTAATCTGGAAGTCACTTTCATTTTTCATTGTACTCTCTTTCCCTTCACTAGGCTGGCCTTCTGGTACTCTTCTTTACACACAATAGAACTTTCCTTCAGGCCTCTTATTCCCTGGGGTGTCGAGAACAGACCATATGCCAAGAACCAAAAGAACAGGTTCTACTCCCAACTAACCCCTTTCTAGCCATGGAAACTTGGGCAAGTCACCTAACCTCGCCAGGGCCTCAGTTGCCCACTATCCATAAAGCGGAGATTTTACCCAGCCTCTCCAAAATGTGAGGGTTAAACAAGATAATGATGGGAAATTAGAAGTTCTCTTCCAATCGAAAAGGCCTCTGACTGTATTATCATTAAATGTTGGACCTAAATTTCTAGAACCTTCACCAGCACTGGGAAGAACCAGTGGTAACATGAGAACTTCAATTTGACCCAGTCTGAGTATAGACAAGTGCCAGTAGGACTTGCACTTTCTTTTACGATAACACCAATTTTGTCTTATGGAAAGCTTCATATCTGGAGCTTAGCCTCTTAAGCTTGGTCTAAAATTGCAGGTGCCCGTTGCCCTAGCCAGTGGTTGCCCTTAGTTTGCAGATTACTACTAATAACAGCTACATTAGTGAGTTTTTGGTAGAGACGGGATTCCAGGAGAAGCCGCTTATGTGACTCCCCCACGGACAAGGACCAAACTCCTGTGTCGTCCCCTCTCTGGGAGCCCCTGTGGGGAAGGAAAGGCCCACACTCCTGTGCTGCACACCCACAGATCGTGCCAATCGCCGGCCAGCTGTGACTTCTTTAAAATCTGCTGCTGGGGAGAGGAGTTAGGGAATACGTTTTCTTGATTGTTTTTTAGCGGAGATCTAAGAAAATACACAGGAGAAAACCCATAAGAAATGTTTATTAAAATGAAAAGAAGCACATATGCTCATTTTTACTTAGCTTTTGAACTTCTCAAAATGCTCAGAAAGACTTAAATCTGTTAGATTAGCTGGATCTGCAAAAACAATCCAGTAGTTAAAGCCACCGCATCCCAGGGTTTAGAATAATTTGGGCCCAAACTTCTAACACCTCTGCCTTAGTTCTTTGATACACTGATTGCTGTTTTCTGTGTCCCACCTTTACTGAACTCTCAGGGAGAGGGGGATAGATAGAAGACTGGCTAGATTTGGTAGAAAACCAGAAGAAGAATAGGAGGATTATGAGGTAGAAATGTCGGGGTCAGGGTGCCTGGGTGGCTCAGTGGGTTAAAGCCTCTGCTTTTGGCTCAGGTCATGATCTCAGGGTTCTGGGATCGAGCCCCACGTCGGGCTCTCTGCTCAGCGGGGAGCCTGCTTGCCTGCCTCTCTGCCTACTTGTGATCTCTGTCTGTCAAATAAAATCTTTAAAAAAAAAAAAAAAGAAAGAAAGAAATGTCGGGGTCCCTGCCAGTGGCTCAGCCGTGTGCTTAGCTGACAAGATCCTTCATCCTTGGACTGTTTGCTGATCTTCTAGGAAGACCCGGGACTTCCCATTCTTCTGATAAACTAGAAACTGCTATTTGCAAGCGTATTTGACTATAAACTCTGCCTGGATTAATGTTATGATACCTATAAAGGAATTTACATTTTCTCCATTAAAGAAAATTGTTGTGAACTGGACTTGGCCAATTTGGTCATTGGCAAGGATTGGGGTGTTCTGGTAGCCTCCAGTAGGTAGAGGTGGGTGAGAGCTGCAGCTCATCCCCCAACCTCACCAGGCGATTCTTTACATTGAAATCAGCTTTTAGACCAATTTCCACATCATTCGTGTTTACAAG